ACAGCCAGCGCAAATATAGTGATAGGGCGGCATGCGAAACGACAAGACCGAGATTGTGGTTGATGAAGGCACTCACTCTCCCCCCTCCCCCACCTCCAAACAAGAGACAGCTTACGAAACACGGAAAAATTTCCCACCCGAGCTCTCCCCAAAACATTATCTGACAATGGATGGAGTCGGACATGATGATAACAACTTTCATCGTAAACTATTGTCTGGAGATGCCCAGGCAAGACATACCTGAGGATATCTGACAGGTGATCCAATTTAATCGGAAGATCCCTGATCCACAAATTAAGAAAAAAAGGCTTTGACGGTTCGACTGTAATGGAACTACGTGGGGCGGAGACTCGCCTCAAACCACTGAAACTCCAGAGGACCCCGCTGAGCAATGGTATCGCTGATGAAATCAAAAAACTGTGTGCAAACAGCACAGTTCTTGACCCACATTATGATGGCGGTAAGCGACTGCGTATGACAGGATTTCCCTTAGAATTTCCCCCCTAAATGGGGTGAAAAATCGCTTTACCCGAACACCAACCACAACTATCTCGAGAAGACCCACAACAGAAAAACTATAACAAGCCAGAAAATGCACAATATCCGACAAAAGCCAGGAGGCCAATGAAGGGTTGGCTTCCCTGTGACAAAGAGCAGACAGGAACAAGTTCAGTTGACCGCATGTGCGAGTCCTGAACCTCCATGTTCCGACAGGCGNAAACAGCACAATTCTTGACCCAAATCATGATGGCGGTAAGCGACTGCGTGTGACAGAATTTCCCTTAGAATTTCCCTCCTAAATGGGATGAAAAATCGCTTCACCCGAACACCAACCACAACTATCTCGAGAAGATCCACAGCAGAAAAACTATAACAAGTCAGAAAATGCACAATATCCGATAAAAGCCAGGATGCCAACGAAGGGTTGGCTTCCCTGTGGCAAAGAGCAGACAGGAACAAGTTCAGTTGACCGCATGTGCGAGTCCTGAACCTCCATGTTCCGACAGGCGAAAAGAGGGAATGACTCGCCAAAAACGGAGCAAAGAAAAACGTGAACGAAACTGAAACGATGCATCGAGATTTGACAGGGAAACCAACCCCTCGTTGACCCCAGAATCCGAACCAGGCCCAGAATAGAGACGCACAGAAGGTCCCCCAGGATCAAAGATGGGAAGGTTTAAAAAACAAAAAAACGAAAGAGACAAAACAGAAAATATTTGCAAAAAATTGTTTTATTTTAACAGCAAAGAAAATACACGCTAAACAAAAGGCTTCCTACTGAGTCAAAAATTACATGTAAGTCAAAACGATCAAACGCACAATTGAGACGGTTAAGATATCATCCAAGACTCGTCGAAATACTCTCAGTGGTTTCGAAGGTCCTCTTCAGCTTAAGCGCTCTGATCTTTCTCTCTAGCTGAACCAACCAACAGCCAGCCTCCTCGGGCGTATATCTACACTTACAAAGCGAATTCCTCCACCACACGCGAAACGATACATGTACAAAAAATAATCTAACAACAGATATTCCTCTCAATCAAGCGCGGTAACTGATCTTCGCTTACAAAGCGGAAAGCCCCAACAAGCACGAAACAATAAAAACAAATATTCCTCGCTACATAGCGGTAACACATCGCTTAAAAAGCGGAAACTTCCAGCAATAAAGAAACAAACTAACAAATATTCCATCTCATCGCTTAAATAGCGGAAACTTTCAACAATAACAAATATTCCTTGCTACATAGCGGTAACTCATCGCTTAAAAAGCGGAAACTCCCGGCAATAAAGAAATAAACTAACAAATATTCCACCTTTAAAAAGCGGAAACTTTCAGTAATAAGAAATTTTCTTCGCTACATAGCGGTAACTAATTGCTTAAAAAGCGGAAACTTTCAGCAATAACAAATATTCCTCTCGTACATAGCGGTAACTCATCACTTAAAAAGCGGAAACTTCCAGCAATAACAAATATTCCTCGCTACATAGCAGTAACGTATCGCTTAAAAAGCGGAAACTTCCAACAATANAATAATCTAACAACAGATATTCCTCGCAATCAAGCGCGGTAACTGATCTTCGCTTACAAAGCGGAAAGCCCCAACAAGCACGAAACAATAAAAACAAATATTCCTCGCTACATAGCGGTATCACATCGCTTAAAGAGCGGAAACTTCCAGCAATAAAGAAACAAACTAACAAATATTCCATCTCATCGCTTAAAAAGCGGAAACTTTCAGCAATAACAAATATTCCTTGCTACATAGCGCTAACTCATCGCTTAAAAAGCGGAAACTTTCAGCGATAAGAAATTTTCTTCGCTACATAGCGGTAACTCATTGCTTAAAAAGCGGAAACTTTCAGCAATAACAAATATTCCTCGCGTACATAGCGGTAACTCATCACTTAAAGAGCGGAAACTTCCAGCAATAACAAATATTCCTCGCTACATAGCAGTAACGCATCGCTTAAAAAGCGGAAACTTCCAGCAATAACAAATACCCCTCGCTACATAGCGGTAACTAATAGCGTAAAAAAAGCGGCCTGCAAAGCGGGAAACATAACACAGGGAAAGCAAAATATAGAACGACAAATATACCTAGGCTAGCCTACAGCAGCGAAAACCGGTAAATAATAATGAGAACAGGCAAAGAGAACGAAGAGACGAAAAAAGCCAGAAAANACTTAATTTAGAATTGAAATCGGTCAGTGAAGATGTTTGTCTTAGGTCTGTAGGTAAGTTGTTCCACAACTGAGCTCCGCTGTACGAAAAACGTCTCTTAAGATAATCAGTCGGAGGTTGTGGAAGAACTAATTAGTTTTCGCAAGTACGTCCACGTGCTAAGTGTCCTGGTGCCCCAAGAGATGCAAGCCTCCCAGTTTTTCGACACGTTCACGTGTAAAGTGATTTACAATTTGGTAGTCAGTCAATCATCTGCTTAGGATTGACACGAAGCATCCACCTCATCAATTTGTAATTAAAGACACGCTATATAAATGAAACAGCCTAATCAGGACAGAAAGAGTGGGATCTACCCCTTGTCGAAAAACCCGAGAAGACAGACCCAAGAAGGTCAAGCAGCCCGAGGTTGCCATCTTGTTGATATCTCTAGGGAGGCAAACACCTAAAACAAAAACGGGTCTACAGAGGTATGAGTTACTCAAGAATATACTTATTTAGCATTAATTTTTTGTTTTCATAATTGCTCCAAGTCTACGCTTTGGGATCGATAATGAAGAAAATTATGGATCTTGATTCTCCTGAAGAAATTCCTAAAGATATGTCTAAAATGATTTCGAAACTTTTGACTAAATGTGAGATAAATGTAAGGATTAATGCCACTGTAAGAGATCGTTAGCCAAATAAGAAATATGTGTAAGTTTGGACTGATTTCCACAAAACCCCCGACATTCAAAGCAAATAAAACATCGAAAGGAAACCAACACATTACGTACAAGACTACAATTGTGATCATCATCCGGGTAACTTTTCTCGCTGTATTTATAGCTTCGGCCTGTCCTTCATTCTGATTGGGACCTTCTCCTGGCACCTCACGTGACCATAACTTGTGACATACAATTGTGTACAGAGCTGCTACTACAAACAGAGGTAGAGCAATGTTAACAGCGGCTAAAATTAAATGAGAATTTATCCACTCTGATGAGAAATCACAGTAATAATAATGCTTTGTTTTGACAACTTCTCCTTTAACAAGGACGTTTGTCGAAGAAACAATAGCCCAAACCCATAATACCAAAATTGTTTTCTTTAAATGTTGGGATACAGGTGAAGATATTAGAGGTCGAGTTACTGCGCAAAATCGTTCCACAGCAATCGCTACAAGGATCCAGTTTGAAAATACGGGTGGAATCACTAAGATCTCCAGAAACAACTTGCATGTAACTAAACCAAGAAGTCCCCCAAACCATTGGCTCCCTAAAGAATTAGTGCGGACAATAAAGCTGGTTAACTCTGCGAATGTAAACACAATATCGGCGCACGCTTGGTTTAAAATCAGATAGTTGGTAGTGTTCTTCATGGAGTTATCTGTTCGTATAATGTGAATGATGACTGAGTTGCCAAACAGTGACGCAGTAAATATGGCACCGTAGGCAAGGTAAATTAGCGACGTAATCAGGATGTGTGTTTCTCCGAGGACTTCCGTAACGTTTCCTGGTGATAAAAATAGATGTATGTGTTGGATAAAGATTGAACTGCACAATTGGTTTACTAAATAAAATTGTTTCCGTTTGGTCACGTGTTAGCTAATGCATGTTTCATGGGCTAGTCAAGTATATGCAGAAAAAATGATATACTGGGCCCGACTGTTCAAAGCTCGATTAAGCTAACCCAGGATTAAAAAAAATTTTGATTTCAGTTTTGTAACTTCTCGGTGAGGTTTTCTGTTTATAATGTTTGTCTTTCAGTTTTGAGCTTGGCTAAGCTCAAACTACACATGCAAAACGTGAGCAATACATCGGTTAACTTTTAATCCTCGGTTAGCGTTAACCTGCTTTCGAACAACCCGGCCCTGGACTCTGGCATTAATTTGCAGTCAGAGATAAACATGTTGCAGGAGAAATGGAAACTGATTGCGTGGCATTCTTTCTGTATAAATACCTTTAAAGGAAGAATGTTTGAAAAAATGAATACAATACTGAATATGTGCTTGAAACTGAATCTAATTACCTTCAGTGTGAACATCAAGGCTTTCGTTAACAACACGTTGAATATTGAACATCTTACTTTCTGCTAAAAAGGATCTATTATATGAAAAATAGGTATCAGATTGGTAAAACGAAGTTTGAATAAAAAAAGAAGTACTCAAGCAATCCACGACCTTCCAAACACCCTATAATGCCTAAATTCAGAGATTTATACTTCATGATTTTCAAAATTAATCCAAGGGAGCCCACAGTAATCGAATGACTTAAGGAAACTCAAAGAAAGAGAGATAACTGCGAGATGAATGTCTAATAAGGATTATCATTATGCACTGTAGTCACCATCTGTCTTCTCATTGGCTAAAAGCCTACAGATAATTCTGGGAAACAGTGCAACCTACAGATTATTCACTAATTTGCTAGCAGATTAGTGAAAAATCCGTGCGTTGCGCACGCAATTCCAAGACCAATGTCAAGTTCACGGACAGCGAAGTAAGAACATGGCTTGTCGAAAATAAACTGTGTTCGATGCGATAATGCGTTTGTCGTTATTTTCTTTAAAACAGAGTATAATAAAACAATTATTAGATTCGGTTTTTGTGACATCCGAAACAATCAAGGTCTCGGTGAGTGTTATCAGCCTCAGCCTTCGGCTTCGGCTGATTACACTTACCTCGACCTTGATCATTCCGGATATCACAAAAACTTCATCCAATAATTGTTTATAAATAATCACGCAGGACAAGCTTTGACTCGGCCAACAGGGACAACTTTTTTCTCATATAAAAACACGTTAAAGATGCCTGAGGGGGAGGGTTGCCTCGGGTAATCGAAACCTGATACTGACTAAGGCATTAGATTACGTAACGTAACATAAGATGTAAGGTCTCCTTCAACAAGCTTAAGTTCAATGAAATTTTTTATTACACCTTTTTGTGCTTGAAAATTAAGATAAGATTAAAAAGAATATATGTCAGCTCCATCGAAAAGTACTAATGATCAATTACTTTACACATCATTTCATAGGCTGAAAATGATTTTGCCCAGAGGCGTTGACATTGTCACGGGCATGTTGTTTGGTTTTTAGAACGTTCCACGCCATTTTCTAGGACATTTTATAATTTGCAATGGTTTCAGTTTCATTTCGGTGTAGAAAAGGGCCTATAGTGAACAAAGTTTTAAATTCAGAGGTTTCAAATTTCAAAAGACAAAATCCTGACCAGAAACCATGCTGAGATGTGTGACTTCTTAACATCGGTGCAATATTGTGAATCTCTGGTAAGAGACCTCACTACAACACTTGGTTAATGAACTGATATACGGTCACAGACATAGTATAGGAAGACAAAATATCTCTCGTAAATATGTCGGCGTAAACGGCAAATTCACCGCACGGTAATGCGAGAAATAAACTACTTTACTCTCGGTTGTTTTAATTAACAATCAAAATGTAAATTACTCGTGTGGTCGTTCAAAGATCTGCCAATTAGATTCTCATGGTCAGATGCCTCTCCTTCCGCGACAGGTTGTCGTCGCTTGGCTGCTCAAATTTGATTGATGATAAGACAAACGAAACCTGCAGGACAAGGGTATATTGTGGTATTTGCTTATCTACTGCACTAGTTGTCGCCTATAGGAGGATATCAGTACAAACAGTGGCATCAGAAGTTCAAATAAAAAGCTTTAATTGAATTTTTTTAATAAGCTTGCCGCATGACTATTTCCACAAAGTCTGTGTTGCCTTATTTTAATAACCTTCTACCCTTACCTTGAACAATAAGAAAAAAAGAAAATATATTCAGTTAAATATATATTAACTTTGTTTTGAACAGCTTACACTGAGTTGAAATGGCCAAAGTTGAATTTGGGATTTACTGTTTCGCGTTCGGTTTCCTTCGGTAATCGTTCTTTAAGCACAAGAGAAAGTCTTTTAAAAATCTCTCATTTTGTTATCATTTTTTTTCTCATTCTGATGATACATGCATGGAATATATTTTCACACATTTTATAGAAAAATTCATATTAAAACTGGTACTTAGGTTAGGAAAACCTTGCAACTCGCTTGTAAAGTGTCAATTCTGCAAAAAAGAAAAATAACATAGCTACCTACCAAATAACGATGTAGTAGGGATGTTTTAGGTCCCTCTACCGCAGTTGTAATCTTGTCAGTGAGATATTTCAGGAAAAAAAAGAATCATTGGTTCCGTTAGTAACCAGTACAGATATTCCAAGTTGCTGATGTGAGGTTTAAAGATAATGTAGCCAACGCAATTTCGTATAATTCAAGAAAATCGTTCAAAGTATATCACAACTTTACTTACTATGTTATTTTCTTGTTCGGTTCGACGTTTATCTTCTCAACATCGACAACAAAGATTTTCATGGCGACCGGTGGTCAACTTTCCTACTTTGTTTATTTTCGTTTTCCGGATAACTAAACAGGTGTTTTCAATTTCATTTATTTGAACTGTACAAGACCGCAACTGTTAATTTCTACAAACAGACAGACTGCCCATTGTGTTTTTTCTTTTGTTGATTTAAGATGTGACTACAACATAATGGGTTGGTGAAACGCAGGCAAAATTTCAACGCAACATATTGCAACATTTTGAGCACAATTTTTTTGCTCACGCTTTGCCACCCTGTTGTATCATAAAACATATTGCAATATAGAGTAAACGTTGTGTGCTTTTGGCTATGTCTTATAAAAAGAGTTGAACAAACGCAATCTTTGACTTAAGTCAACATGACTAAGTTCACATGTTTTGATGTGTTTTTAATGTACTCTGTACTCTCCCGTTCATATTAAAAAATAAGAATGACAAACAATAAGAGGAATTGAAGACACTATATTCTCCCTTCTATACGGTAGGGTCATTTTCCAGGAGACAAAGTCAAAACAAACAAGGACAAAGTGTACCGGTTATTTTTAGTCCTACTAAACCGAACATAAAGTTAATTTTTATTTCACTTCAGGTATACTTTTCCTGATCTTTTAATGCTGGTTCAATTTCATTAGAACACCAATTCTCATTTTCTTTGATTTTGCACTACCCCACCAATCGATTGGCTGAAAAGACGTTCGCCACTTTGTCACCTAATCAGAAGTAAAACCAAAACCATGCTCACTCGCTCGCACACCTTCTTCCCGCGCTATGCGTCAGCTACATGTATTTGATTTGCGTTTTGATTGGTTCTGCAGATGGTCCGTATAATCTGTAATTCTTCAATTGACCAGTATAACTTTTGGTATGAATCGAAAACTTCTGTATAGTTTTGGAAGTGAGAACAAATTTCACGGACATTTTTTGGGGATTAATTACTCATCATCATCATCGTCATCATCATCGTCATCGTCATCGTCATCGTCATCGTCATCGTCATCGTCATCGTCATCATCATCATTTTAGACTTAGCTTGACTAAAAAGTGAGACAATCACTATTTCGATTCGTGATCAGCTTTAAAACTTACAATATATTTTTACACTTCCCGTGAATTACTTTTCTTTTATTATCTTGTTATTTCGAGGTGCACCTGGAAACTGTAGCTCTTAGCTAAGCGTGCTGACCAGGATAATTTTTATCTCTATTTTTAAGTTAACATTATCGAAGAAAGGTGTGAAGCTAAGGTTTGTCATTTCGCACTGCCGCTGAGTGACGTGCACCTATTTTCAGATCAGCGATCAAAGAAAGATTTAGTGGATGCACGTTTCTCGCTCAGGCGATTAAGGGGCTGTTGTGACTGCTATTGCGCCATGGGAAACAATGCCACAGTTAATGGTTATGGCAATTCTTCACATTGAAAATATAACGCCGAATCTGGCCCGCTATGCACAAAAATTTGCACAGCGCGAAAAGGCTTAGGTACGAGTTTAGCGCTAGAGTGTTGCTATATGCATAGCGGTTTCCCCTTTAAGGTCGCTATTAGAGATGACAACAGAGGACAAAGCCAAAGTATTCATTCTTTTCATTCTTTTATTTTCTCTCTTCCTACTCAACACGATTGCGTGCTCCTCGTGCATCTATTTGTGTTATATTTGTTCTAACTCTACGCTCCGGGATCGACTACTGGGAAGAACGACCTGTCTTATCGTGATTTCCCTAAAGCATCGTCCTAAAGTCTTTAAAATTATTGCGAAACAATTGATTAAATACTAGGTAAATACAAGGGTTGAGTGCACTATAAGCGGTTGTCAACCAATTTACGAAAAAATAGATGCTGGTATTCATGCCCCAATAACTTCCAAAATGTAATAAGAAATATATATCCAGAGGAAACCAGCCAAAAACATATAATACCACAATTATAGCAATCATTATCCGGGTAACTTTTTTTGCTCTTTTAATGCCTGTATTAAAAAATTTTTTAGAACAAAGTGTTTATATCGCCGGCCACCAAACTGAAAATAATGTCAATTCTAATGGCATTAGCTCAGTTTGTTTGGTCAACCGTGAATTGGCCATGATGTCATGTGCTCACGCCCACCGGGAGTTCACACGGATCAAAGATTTCTCTTTCATTTTGTGATCACATTCCCTTTTTGCCTTGAAATATTGCCTCGAAATATTATAAGCTGTTTTCATACATTTATTGTCATGATTTTATGAACAAGAGGACAGTCAAATGTTTTATGCAATACGACCAATTGCACCGCTTTTAAATCAGAGGAATTAAATATTATTCTTTAATAGCTAAAATTGTTGTGATTATTTTTATGAAGTTTCGACCCAGCGTTTCCGTTTGAGCGAAGGAAGCTAATGATCTTGTGTAAAGTTAATAATCAAACTTACCGACATTTCTCAAGTTCAAGGCGAATGCTTTAAAGTCTTTGTTTGGTGAGTGACACGATTGCATCTTGTGGAATTCCAGGGTAATCCAAGAATCTCAATAAATGAAAAATGTCCCAGAAAAAGAAAAGCACCCTTAAGCTATTTACTGGCTACCTCTACCATACCTTTGGAGCTGTCGCAACTGTTTTTTTATACCCCAATCTTCCATCCAGGAAAGAGTTATACGAGTGGTCAAAACACTTTATTGGTTTTTTGGCTCTATTACCTTTGCCAGATATTAGGAACCACAAAAGATTGATTCGATTTATACTGTAAGTCCACATCAGTCCTTTTCTTCACGCGTAATCAATGAAAGGTTGCGACTGGGGTCGTAAACCTCCTTCACACAAGAGACTGAGTTACAGATATTTAAACACATTTATCAAGACTCCCTGAAAAGGGTTTTTAGCCACAACACCTGCTAAACCTAAAACTGGTTCAATTAAAATTAAGTTGAAAAAGCGACATCCAAATATATACATTAATAGGAGGTAAAACCTACAAGTAAATAAAACTGAATTATAAAGAATGCACTTGCCAGAGATATAGACGAGAATTTGAGAAAATACGTTAAAAAGAGACGCCCATGAAGGGATTCAAAGATGCTTTGATATAATTTTATCTAAGTTATTCGTTGACTGTAATTACTGGGTAAATAGTTCCGACAAGTTGTCGCTCGGCGATGCGTGAAGGATCTTTGGTAAGTAGATATCCAGCAGAGCTCAAGGTCCAGCATATCTTCGGATCGAAGATTGTTCATTATGTGACGTTGTCCTATGCATAAATGTAGCGCCAAGGTAGTTGGCGCACAAGACAACAGTTGTTAAGAAATAGTCTGTTCTCGGGACAGAACAACTCAGTAGTTCAATTTGAGGCTATCTGGAAGTCGTGTAAGGCCCTGCTGTTGAGTCTTTCTCAAAAAAAAAGGGTAAAGCAGCCTTCCTATCTTGATCTGCCATGATGTGTCCAGTGACCTAATCAGTGAAAACGTTTGATCAATTAGCTCAGTCAGTTTGTTCGGTGGCCTGTCAATTAGACTATGAAATCAGACCTCAAAGATCAAAGATTACCTTATGAAAATACTTTCAAGGGTCCATGTTGTGTCGCTCATCACGTATACCAGTCTCACAAATCAAAACATTCAAGCGTTCACCTAGAAGAAAATTGATGCATTCTTAAATAGTAATACTGTATTTTCGAAGCGGATAGCTGTCAACTTATCTGTAATTAACCTTTTAACAAGCCATACCTAATGAGTGTACCCAAGATTGTAGATGTTACGTGCGCAATATGGCTGCTCTGCACTCAGCACGCCACCAAAAATAGATATATCGTAACCATTCAATAAATTGAGTCAAGAATCTGGGATATGATAGATGATTAATATATGAACCACCTCGCCAAGATTTAGGTCTGTGCAGTTTTTCATTGGTGCGTTAGTTGGAAAAAAATTTCACGCAAATTTATAGAGCTTTGTTTGGAGACGCCATGTTGGTGCCCTTCCGAGGGACACCAACATGAAGGCCGTAAAGTAACAGAAACATCTGTCATTGAGGTTTGCCTTTGAAACGAAAAATTATTACTCTAGAGCTGTTCTGATAACAGCAAGGAACTGCGACTGTGAGTGTATCACCCAACGTCATTTAGATGAATTATTTTTTCTTAATCAAAAAAAGCATACAGTCGAACCCCTATAACGCGGCCGCCCTCGGGAAAATGGGAGATGGCCGATTACTAGGGATTGGCCAGTTAATAGGAGTTCGTTTGCTTTGAATGTATTTTAAAGGTGTTACGGAGGCAGCTTGGCCGAGTGGTTTAGGGTGCTGGTGTTGTAATCCGCAGGTTCCTGGTTCAAGGCCTCAACCCTGCCACTAGCGGGATTTGTTTCTCGGTAGTCCCGAGCTCAAATCCTCGGTCACGCTTTGTAAATAGCCAACTGGTCTGCCTCCTGCCAGTTGGGATTTTTAACTATGTCACGTTTAATCGAAATATTTGCTTCCTTTGTTTCAGTGGCATGCCTGTAAACTAGCTAAGCTTAGTGCTTGTATAGCTAAGTGCATGACCACTATAGATAAGATTTACAGTTTTACATTTACATTTACTTTCAGGTTATCGTGTAATCACGTTAAGACAATCAAAATTAACGTGTTTGAATGGTTCTATCAGCCATCAATTTCTATTCTAGACTCTTATCTGTTATCGTCTTTTCCAAAACAAAGCCAATCTAAGTGTATTAGATTTTCTGTGGTCGCTCAATAGGGCTGAACGACAATAGAAAGCCCTGATCGGGACAACCAAAGGGTGGCCAAGGCCGTTGATAGTGGTGGCCAGTTAATGGGAATAAATAGGTTATACATTTCAACTCACAAAATTGACCCTCGACGTTTATTTAGTCCAGTCTTCTTTGCAGCTATGCTGAGTTATGCTGCATCGTCTCTTTTAATTCCGGTTTTATCTTGTCATGAAAAAGAGATCGCTCTTTGAATAGAACCTTACAGGTTCAATAGATTGATTCAAATACTTCATCAATGAAGTTTGCTTTGTTTCATTTTGATTGATTTCTCTGCACGCTTAATTTTAATTACATCGAGTTTCCCTTTTTTAATTAAAAAAATAATGATTTGTTGTTATTATTTTAAGAACGTCAAGTGTTCCAAGAAACCTACAAAGGAATAGAAAAATGTTTTTCATGGGATATTGATGTTTCTTTCAACATCAATATCCCATAAAAAAAACTTTTTCTTTTCAACCTTCAAAGTACCATGCACCTTGTTATTAAAAATTAAAATAAATAACATTATTTGGTGTTAAGGAAGATCTTTCTTTCTTTTTTTCTTTTTTTTATTTTCCTCTCGCCCTTCTTTTTTAAAAGGCAAGGGTAATATTCAATCCAGGGTAAACAATATCATACAGCCATAAGTTATGATATCCAGTGTAGAAATCATAATTAGATATCCCACATGGTTTGTATTCCACCCCAGTTATGGCAGTTAAAGGGTTCCCCTTGGCTTGTTTGGAGTCAACCTTCGTATTAATTATATCGGGTTCATATTAACATCAGAAAATAAATCCAATGTTTGACAGATTGTATTTCTTGGCACCAGACTGCCAATTTCATGTCCTAACACGCAAAATGTATTCTACATTTAAAGCCTAGGCAAGTAATAGATTTGAGATCATTTATCATTAAAATTGGGAGAAAGATCGAACTTCATTTGGTTCCTAGATGACTCAGCTTGTTGAATTGGGTTTTGTGTGTGTATTTAAATTTTAAGATATAAATATAGATTGTCCCTTGCATAGCACTTCAATTACTGTTTACATTACAACCTACTTTAATTAAAATTAACTTCTCTTTGTATTTTTAAAACCACTAAAGACAACTTTTATAAAGGGAAACTAAAGCCAGTTATTTTATCATGATAAAACACGGCGGTCATTCAAAACACGAGAGAAATAAAGAAAGTGGCCGACAGAGAACGTTTTACATTGCATTTGTCTCAAAAACCCTTTTCAATAATATATAGCGTATTGCTTTGTTTCATACATGATATTAACTGAAAAGGGCACACCTGGACTTATATTCTAAATTAAATATTAATCATATCTGTTCTTCACTTAAACTGCTCAAGCCTACATGTATTATTACATGCTATATTAATATGTTTTAGTTTGAGACGTTTTATATGATATTTCTTTTCTGACCTTAATATTTATTATCATTTCGTTCATTTCTGTCAGTTATCGTAATAGTCCTCCGTAAGGCAGGCCTAGGTTTTCGTTGTTAAAAAACAAAATGACCGCTCGTTTATATTTGTTCCAGCTCTACGCTTTGTGACCGAAAAGAGTCAATAACATTTGATATCTTTAATTTTCTACAAAATTTTTTGAACAACTCCCTGAACCTGCTTCGAAAATTCTGACTAAATGTGAGATAAACGTAAGGATTTATCCCAGTGTAGCAAAGCGTTAAGAAATTGGTTAACAGAAACAAACTGTCAGTTACTTGAACCCTATCAACAAAACGCAAAAGGACTGACATATACACAGGGAGCCAACATATCACATATAAAACCACAACGATAATCATCATCAGGGTAACTTTTCTCGCCAATTTCAGAGCTGCTGCTTGTTCTTCATTCTGATTGTTTCCTTCACCTGGTACTTCACGAGACCAAAGTCTGAGGCACACAATTGTGTAAAGAACTGCCATCAGTGAAAGAGGCAGAAAAACGTTCAAAGTTAAAGAAATATTGTTAAATGTATTCCAATCATCAAATAACGTCGTTACATCACAGTAATAATATCCTTTAACATTTTTGAAGGTTTGTTTCACAAGGTAATTTGAGGAGAAGGCAATTGACCACGCCCAACAAGAGAAAATTATTTTTTTAAAATGTTGAGATATAGGTGACAATCGCAATGGTCGAGTTACTGCATAGAAGCGATCAAGGGCGATGATCCCAAGGATCCAAACTGAAAAGTTGGGTGAAATGAATTGGATCGCTACAAACATCTTGCAAAAAATTAAACCCAAAATTCCTCCAATCCATACACTACCGGTTGAACTGTAATAAAAAACACCCGTTATTTCTGCGAATGATATCAGCAGATCAGCACATGCTTGATTGATGATCAAGTAGTTGGTAGTGGTCCTCATTGAGTTGTCTGTTCTTATAATGTGAATGATGACTGAGTTGCCGAACAGTGATGCCAAAAATACCGTGGAAAAGCCAACAAACACCAGCGAATGCAATGGGGGGCGCATTTCTCCGCATCCAGTTGTTGTGTTTCCTACAGTGAAATAAAAAAATACATATCTTCTCGTGAACTGATTTAAATATCTTAATACCTATAATTCGTTTAATATTGTTTATGGAATTGGGATGAGTGGCAAACAGTTTGTAGCACCTAGTGGATATTACATAGTCATTTTACATGCCTCATACTCAAGATAGATTGCAACTGTTGTTTCAACATTTTATTTAAAAAGGCCTACAAATATTTCTTATATTTTTGTATTAATAATTTTCTTTAAAAATCGCTATATATTGAAGGGAATAATCAAAGAGAATTTCACTGTTATGTAGTGTTTACTTGCATGTCACGCAGGGTGACATGATGGAAGAAGAGTATTTCGCTCTGAAAATTCTTTGAGAAATCAACACCGTCAATTTTTTCCTAAAATCATCATAAAACTTACGCAATAAATTGCTTTTTCGTTACGGATGGTAGCTCGCTATTTTTCCAGTGAGTTACTATTGAATTGGACTGGGTAAAAGATCATGGTCCTTTAATTTACAAGCGTATTTTCCCTAAATATTTAAATACCTTCTTTGTGAAGACTATCACTGCCATTGATCACGCATTGCACGTTGAGGCTACCGTTGTTCGACAGATACGACGAGTTCATCTTTAACTTACTGGATCACTAACATTTGGTCTACAATCAAACAAATGTTGAATTTTTGACTACGCAGAAACATAGATCCTGTGATGAAGCTATAAGGCCCCCTTCCGGTTTACAGGCCTCCCCTACAATTATACAGACAAACAAACAAACAAAAAACCAAACAATTTCAGTTCTGAGGCCCATACGGATGTAAGCCTTCCTCCACTTTATTTCCTAACGAGATTACCATCAAATAGATCCTTTGAAGATTACAAGCTATTTTTTTGCTGTCAAAATACATCGTAAAAATCAGGTTGTAAGGCCCCCTTCCAGCTCATAGGCCCTTTTATATGCAAACAAACAAAAAACCCATATCATTTGGAAGCCCTCTACGGATGAGGGCCCTCCTTTGCTTTTTCTTTTTTTTTTCCCAACAATATCAACCTCATAGAACAAGTAAGAACAACATATTTTTTTACTATCTACGGAAATTCTAATAAGGAAACTGTTTAGAATTTCACAGTTATCAAACGTTCAACATCTGCAAACAAAATAATATTGTTTATTTTAATCAATTATTCGTCGGTTTGTAATTGAAATTTTGTACTCACAAAATGACTCGCTATATACAACACGCGAGTCGCTCGTATCTGAGGTGATCAGTAAGATCTTGGTTAAGAAAGCCTTCGTATTGTTTATAGAATTTGTTTGAAATATTCCATTCGAGTGAAAAAAAATCATTAAAGCAAGGTAATAAAGTGTCATTCAAATAATGATCGACAAGGTACACTGCACGTACTCTGTGATATTGTCCCTTTTGTCACAATTTGTTTAATTTTAGTTATAATGCGAAACATGGTCACTACATTCTTCATAACTTCTGAAAAACTGAAAAACATCACGATACTGTACTATGACTCAACCTCCACTCGTTGACATGTTCATGCTAGGTATATACTCACCTGTTTAATGGTGCACTGTCCAATTCAAAGTTGCGTGCATCTCGCCGTGTAACAGGGAAGCCTTTTCGCATCTCGCGTGTGATGATTCTTATTAATTTCAAGGTCGACAGGGGATATTTTTATTTAAAAAACAATGCTTTTGTTATTTAGATTTGCCAGCCCTTTTAATGACAGAACCTTACTCTTTTAGCACCACAAGTAAATTGGTTTTACGTTTTTACAAAAACCGGCTATAGGAACCCGCTCCCTTTACAAAAAGCTGGAGAAAAGAGCTTATTTTTCCTCGAATTTCCACGCGGAAATTTGACATCGACAGATTAATGACAGGTTAATTACAAGGGGGCTGAACGGAGGCTTCAATCCTTTATCTACATGTTCTCCCCTCCTCTCTCATCCATCGCTTTCTTTTCATCCCATTCCCGACTAGGGAATGGGATAAATCATCCAAGTTTCATCACCATGGCTCTTTGTGTTACAAGAGGACATTGTTAAAAGTCAGAAGACCAAAACAGGCTAGTCTTAACGTTTAAGCATCCCCACAGTAAGTTGCTTAACAACAATTACAAATCTTACAAAATTTCCTCATGATGATCACAAACTCTTTTCTAAATCTACTGTTGAATGACAAGTAAATATAAGGATTGATTGCACTGAATGCGTTTGCTAACCAAACAACAAATTTCACCGCAGCATAAGGTAGAACGACCTTATGTAAACTATCTAAACCAACAAATATATAAAAAGGAAACCAACATAAGCCAAACAAAACGACAACAATAATCATCATCCGGGTAACTTTCTTGGCTGTCTTCATGGCTTCTTCGTGCCTTTGATCCTGACTGGCGCCTTCACCAGGCACTTCATGTGACAATAAATACCAGCACACGAATGAATATAACACGGCCATGGCCACAACAGGCACGGCAAAATTGAACAGCAATTCAATGATCAGGCTTATTACGTTGATCGTGGTTAGCTCAACACGGGAAAAGTCGATAACACAATAGTATCGACTACCGCTGACGAGCCATAGCTTTGCCATGGAGACCATCCCTGCAGCTGAAGCGAGTGACCATAACCAAATCAAAGAAATGGCCAATTTTATATGATTTGATATCGGGGACACATGCAGAGGACGCACCACTGCAAAATAGCGATCGACTGCTATAGCAGTGAGGCTCCAAATAGAGCAAAATGGCGCTGGAAA